ATTATATTACATTTATGTGTATTAAATAAAATATTGCAATGCATTTACATTATAATTTTTTTAAAATGTATATTGGTTACAATATTATTTAATAATTTATTTTTTCGTATACATATTTTTTTATTTTTTATTTGCAAATATATTATTCATAGATTTTTTTTCTTATAAGGATACTATATTATCGCTCCCTTTATGGCATTATATATATATGATATCATGCACCATAACATTCTTATATACATCATCAGTTCAGTATTGTTTGTTTATTAATCACTGTTATTAATAATATCGTATCATATTAATATATAATAAATCTACAGAGATATATGTAATAAGTATTTTTGTCATATTATAAAAATATATGAATTTATGTCTACATTTCATTGAGAAACATATTTTCCACAAAACGTATTTACATTTTTTGTGATATATATCCATATTTTCATAAGAATGGATTTTTAATATAATTAAAATTATATTTTCATAGTATTATCAATAAGCTATATGTATTTTAAATAATATATTTTTACAGTGTATGCTCCATTACATAAGAAAAAAAGAAGATATATATTCTAATTTACTTATTGGAATATAAAATATATTAATTTTATATATATATAAAACTTTATTTTTTTTGGCTACCAATTCAATTATAATCAATGAATGTTAAGTGTACATCTATTATATATATCATATAAATAAGATTTAACAATTTCGTGTGACATGCTTTAATGTTATATAAAAATAGTTCTGCTTAAGAAAAAAATTAGTCTTTAATAGATTTTAAAAAATTTATTAAATACATTGTTATTCAAATTAATAAATATGTAAATTTCAATTAAAATATTATTATAAAAATTGAGAATTATTTCTCATTCTTAATATATTTTATCTTACGTTATATTAAATAATGTAATTATTATAGAAAATATGAACTATATATATTAACATATTTCCTAAATTTTGCATATGTTAAAATTCTAATATATTAGGAGACAATTTTTTTTCTTAATTATTATAACAATTACTCTTCTATTTTGTTCCTTCCTAGTATGGCCTAATAGAAAAAATAATATACCAGCGGAAGTATTAAATATATTATTTAGAAAAGGATCATAAATTTAATATCATTTAAACGATAAGAAATAGCTAATTTTCTATGTTTACTGTTTATAATAGTCCACCTCAAAATAGTTGTGAGTATAGCTTAAGTATATACAACATTATTTAATTTACCGAGTTTACTTCGATTATGCATTATTATATAAGATAATATAGCTTAGAAACGATCAAATATTAGTATAAAAAATAATTTTAATAACATATGTTCTGACTATTATATAAGAATTAATTCTATATATATATGAAATAATGCGCATAAAAATGTATAGGCTCAGTCGAAGATGGATCAAACCCACTCATTATAATGAGAAATATATATTTGTGTTATTTTCATAATTAAAAATATATAAATGTTCCAGTTGATGCAAAATTTTTTTTATATATAAACGTGTAAGAAATTTATAATATAAGTCTTTATAAAATTATGAAATCAAATATGAAAACATATTACTTCATATATACTTTTAGAATTAAGGTAGTTACATTGCATTAAATTTAATAGTATTCGTAATAATTTTATGAACATATAGAATGTGGATATAAATTATATCAATACCTATGTAAGAATAAATTTAGTCCAGGATCTTCAAATATCTAACGAGGTAAAAAAGTATGGCAAGTATATAAGACAAGAATTTCTTAAAATAATGTTATTAATGCAAACATTATATGTAATATTCCATATTTTATTATCATGTAAGTAATGAAACTATAGAGCGGCATACAGGAGAACATAAAATTGCTTATTTATAAATTAATAACGTACACTTTTCCTATAGTTATTTAACACTTTTCTTATATTTTTTTATATAAACATAATGAAACTAATATGTTTTGAATTATAATTCCTAGATTTAATGTATAAATTTTATAGGATGATTATAGTAATGATGTCATTCTTTTCATTAATATAGTTACATATATTAACCACCGATAATATATTTAATTATTAATTTCATAAATAAAATAATTCTTCAAATGTTATGCGTTCTTGCCTTTCATATAATATATGTACATTTAAAGAGACAGCAAATACTTGATCATTAGAAAAAATATGTGTAAAATTAAAAAAAAAGTTCTATACATGAAAAAATTCATACTTTATTATAATTAAACTAAAGAATACAAACGAAGAATTATTTATTGTTAAATTTAAGATAAATAATTATTTAATTGCTGCTTTATTGTTGAATAAAATTTTATTTTTTCCTTCTTGATAACTTTTCAGTATATATAAAAAAATACATATGTACAACATTCTTTTAAAAATGATAAAGGAAAATTATGGAAAATAATTTAGAGATATGGTGGAATAAATTTTAAAATAAAACAGTGTAAATGTTTCATTTGGTTAAAAAAAAAAAATCATAACTTAGATTAATATTATGCTTTATTATGCGTAATATATAATTTTTATTTAACAACATTAAATAATAATCTTCACTATGTTTATTCAAATTTTTCATAACACATACTGTAATTTATAATTATATATTCATATCTTATATAATTGACAAATATAACCCTTAATGTTATATATAAATATATTATAATAATATTATATTAATACTATTGTATTATTTTTTTATCATAAGTAAATTTATGCTTCTTACTTGATAATCTTAAAAAAATATATATGCACAATTATTATACTAATTTACATTGAATAATATACTATTTTATTAAATTATACATAATTTTAAAATTATTAATATATATTTCCAATGATTTAGAATGTAATTTACAGATACAAAAAATATTAATACTATAAATCAGCTGTTTTACTTAATAATTTAATTAAATGATCATTCGCAGTTATAACAAAAACACAAAATTCTAATATATAATACAGAATACAAGAGCATTAACGTGAACAATAAACTCTATGTCTACTCAATTCATAACAGGATTATGTATTTTAAAGTGATAAAGGAATTGATAAATGTATATATAAAAACTGTGGCAAATTTTATATTATATTAGTGCACTTATCGTTTTAATAATTATATCTAAAGATTATACGATTATAAGAGTATTATATATTAAAACAATATTATTAATATATTTTTCATAATTTATTGCTTTTATATAGATAGAAAATTATAAACTTATTATTCATATAATATTTTTATATGATAAAAAGTATATATTATTTATATTGATAAATAATACATTGTTTATTATATAAAAAGAATAAATTAAAAATAATTTTTTTTTAGTATATTTCCTATGGTATCTATTTAGTATTCATACTTATATATTTAAGAAGCGTAAGTTTTTCATAATAGTAATAAAGTATTTTTCATATTAATTTAGTTATATAAGACGGAAATGATTGCTCAAAATTCTGCATTGCATAAGGTATGATATGTTCTCGGATTAAAATTATAATTATATTCAATAGTTTTAATCATTGATACATTGCAAAACTAAGGAATATATATTTTCTGAAGAAATTATTTTTGGTATTTATATATATCATAACTTTTTCTTTTAGGTCCAGATTGATAAAATAATTCCAAGATGTTATTATGATTATAAAGCGGTTAAAAACAATTATACCGGAACTGAGATAAATACTCATTTAACAAATGCATGCCGAGAATTTTGTTTTAATACCTTAAATCAGAAATCAGTGGATCAATGTCCTTTTTTTTCACATTGCATTGATATTGGAAGTTATTTGTACTACACAAAAGATACTGTAGGTGATGATCAAGTAAGAAGATGTAAATATTTTAGCTACAAGCTGATGAATGAAATAAAAAGTAAATCTCTTGTATGTGGGAACGTAAAAAATTGTTACAATAATATGTTTACATATATTAAGAAACCTAATATAAATTTATTCAAGGATCTTATGCATTGTATAAACCATGCTGAAGATATTAATGATGATATATTAAATATATTTCGCCAACTTGATGTACTGTATGATAAGATTGAATTTTTAGAATGGGGTTCTACAACTCAACTTAATATAGTAGTAAATGTATATCTTAATCTTTTAAAGTTGTGCCTTCATGATGATAATAAAGAAATAACAGGTTTAATTAATGCACTATATGACTATAATGTTGAATACGAGAAGCATAGAACGAAAACTCCATGGAGTACTTCTAATCCGAGGCTTCCAAATTACAAAGAAGAGAAAACTAAGTTAATGCAGGAACTGGAACGCCGGAAAAAAGAGGCACTGGAAATAAAATTACGTACTGAAAATGCATCAACAAGTGAAATAAAAAGTTATGTAGAATTTCCAGAAAATCTAGAATTAACAGCCTCTGGAACATGGGTTAGCATAAGCACAGCTGGTTTAACAATTGCAATATTTTCAATTTTTTTAATTTTATATAAGGTAAAAAATATTTAATTTATTATTATTATATTAAATACATATTTTAAATATAACATATAATTAATAGTTCATATTATAAAATTTATTTATTCATCAAAGCATTATACATTTCCTTTATAATCAGTATACGCCTTATTTTTCATTTTTACGACAAATGATAAGGAAAGCAATGAGAATACGGAATAAAAAAATTAATCATCATCTAAATTTAATAAATTCTTTTGAACATACATACAATAATCCGATTAATAGTAATTATAGAATAATATATAGCTCACAAGATAACTAATAAACCGGTAATATCTATATATGTATCGTTGATGATTTAATGCAAGCAATACATATTATATAAACTTCATATATCTACAATATAGTATAATTATACACAAAAAGGTAAATGCCAAAATGAATATTACATTATATAAATCATTGCCCTTATTAAGGTAATATATGATAATAAAGAATAATAAAATATATATATACAGGGTTCAGGGATTAATTATTATGATTCGTATTTTGCATAAGGATATGTTTTTATTTTTAAAATCATTTTAGTTATATACATACATAGTTACTGTAATTATTAGCAATTTCTTTTTTAATAATCACGTTAATGTTATATTCTCACATATATGGACACATATTAACTATTATATTATGACAAAATTATACATTAAATAAGGCATATATAATATATTCTTTTATTTTACAATTATTATTACGTCTTCATTAAAATATTGTTTTTCATATTGTGTTTATACGGAAAATGTATTTCATTTGTTAATATTTTTACTTATTAGACATTATGTAAAATGGATTCTAATAATCTTCATATTTAATATGAATTTTAAAATATATTAATATTTGTATATGTTTAAGTATGTATTCCCCTATTCGGAATCACAATTTTCGTCTAAATAAAAATATATGTACTCTTCCTTATCATTCTCTCTATATGTTTCACTACCCCCAAATGCTTCATTTACAGAATAATCACCTATATTTTCTTCATAATTCTACATAAATACAATTAAACTGATAACAAAAAAACAGATAAATCAAAAATAGCTGTTCCTTCATATAAAATCCTTTTATTTTTTCCCCTTCTTTATAATGGTATTTATTTTTTTTTCAATACAGATGTCACCATCATTCAAGTCACTCTCATTCGAGTACATTTGTTTTTGTGATAATATTTGAACATATTCTCGATATAATTTCACTTTTTCTTCTTCTATATCAACTATAAATTTCTTTTGACCCTCAGGTGAACTACAAGTAACAGGTTCATATAATATATTATATACTTATTTTTCGTAATTTATAATTTTCTTTTTCAGAATAATTTATTAATCTTGATATTTTGCATAATTGATTTACTAAGATAATATTTATATTATCGGAACCATCCACAAAAAATTTTGCACAGTTATTTTTATTTATATACTCCTTGGAT